CCAACCCCCTCTATTTTTTTTACTGCCACCATCAGTATTAGGGGGGTACCAGTGCAGGCCTGCAGCACAAAACACCGAGTGTCCAGTAAAAAAGCGCTCTTTATTCTGTCAGCTGGAGTATTTCACAATATCTAGGCCAAACTGCATCAAGTAGCAAGGCCTCTGAAGCCGGGTGAAAACAGAACTCTGCTGTAAAAGCAGAGTGAGACGGACGCTGAAGAAGCCACTGACAGTCAGGACTGCCCAAGGACTTCAAACTGGTATCGTTATGTGCAAGATCTCAAACTGCAGTCACTAACACCCTGCCAGCTGCACGCACCTCCTCACCTCTTCTAACTTTTCAATCCTCCAGCTTGCTGGTGGCGAATCAGGCAGCACAGCAGCAGCACGAGAAGAAAAGGTCGCAGAGCGACTCGGGAGAACGAGAGACTATTTTTAAGCTCTCTGATCAGTTGCCGAGATTACTGCGCAAGGACAAGGGCCCGATTCTGAATGCAGCGCCGACAGTCTCACTGTCCAGTGGTCAAACAAGTGCGCGCTCTCCCTCACTACAGCCTGCGGGGGGGGAGGGGGGAGTGTGAGGGAGTGAGGCAGCTCCGCCGGAGGGCCTGCATTGGGCACTGCAGAGGACAGATCAGCCTGGGCAATTCCCCCACACCGCAAAGACAATGATGCGCAAGTCAGCCTTCCGATAACCACCAGGCCTCCAGAGAGACAAAGACCAGCACAACAGCCTGACTGTTCGACGCCTACAACTCAACAAGTTTTGTGTGCAACCGTTTTACCATTTCTCCACTCTATAAAACAATCTGGCTGCAGTTCACAAAACGGTTCTTTGCCCCTTTTTTAGACTGTAATGAGCAGGTCCAACGATCGGAACCGCGAGCCTGGTGGAGGCCCGGAGAGAACAGCTCTATCTGCTCGGAGTAAAACGAACGCCGAGCATCAGCCCCTCATGTACATCCCTCAGCCTTTCTGGCCCCCGCGTGTCACAGAGGGCACAGGGGCAATAGGGCAAAAAAACAAAACCTCCGGGGGGAGGTGCCAGCCAGCGGACAGAAACAGGGACCACGGGGGCAGCGTGAACGACTCTCAGTGATGACACTGACTGATGGTCAATTAAGGATGAGAAAACCCACACCCCGCCCCCCCCAATCCCCACAAAAAAAATAAAAATAATGCACAACAAAACAGAACTCAAAACTATAAACTTCACAAAATCATATCATTGAGCAACAGCAAAAAAAAAGCATCAAGAGAGCACAGAGGGCACACTATGGGCACAGACTGGGCAGAATCTTGTGTTAGTTGTCTGGGGCGCCACTCAAAGGGTCAGGGGAGAAAGGGGACACAGTCGACACACATCTGGCTTCTGCAGAGCAGCACAGCTCAAGGTGGGGGGCAGGGAAAGGGAAGGGGTGCAGGGCCTGGGGTCTGATGCCTCATGACTTACGCTGCGATGGAAATGTTAGCTGCCGACATGGGGCTGACCTCCTTTACCTCCTTGGCCTTTTGGAGGGCAAGCTTTTTACTGGTGGCTTCCTCTTGCTCTTCCTCGTCCTGGCCAGTCGGAACAGAGATATCCGTCAGACACGCACGCGCGCGCACGCGCACAAACACAAACCAGGACGCAGACAGCCCCGAACGGACCGGCGTTAAAACAATCAAAATTCCCCGGGATGCTGCAAAAACGACTCTGCTGTTGAAGGACCACGAAAACACGGAAAGACTCTGCTACAGAATGAGATTACAAGGTTAAAAACACAGAATATTCGGTGCTAACAGGCACATTCACTGGAGAATTTCAACAAATGCTGATAGCTGAATATGCATTTAAGAGAGGACACTTAAGAGAATGTAGTAAGAATAGTTAAAAGGGGGTTTTGTACTCATTACTGCACAACATAAAAGGGGAATATTCCTTCCTGGGTGTCTGTCCAGACTGCTGTCTAGTTCTTCAGCTCGCAGGCGTGCCGAAGTCATGAACAGGGCAGCGGCCTGGGCCCAAGCCTACCTTCGTTAGCTCCTGCGCATTAGCCAGGTTGTCAACGGCAATGGCCAAGAAGACGTTGAGGAGCGTGTCTGTTTAGCCAGCAGCTCAGGAAAACTCTGGATACACTGGCGGCTCAGGGAAGAGGGACTGCTCATTCCCCGAATCACACACACGTGCCTAGGAGTGTACACACATACACACACAGGTCTTCATTCCCCGCTCAATTCCCACTGCACCACTGATTCATCTCATTAGCAAAGCACGCTCCATGAATAGCAGAGGATTTCAAAAAGACACGTGATTTTCTTTTTTGGCAGCAGGAGAAGCATGGGAGGCAGAGAAATCTCTCTGGAGTCCTACATCCATGTAACCTCTGCCTGGCTTTTGTGTTTGCTTTAATAATTTGTTGATCGACATTCTTTCAGTCTCGTGTGGTCAAAGGGAAAGAGGACTGTTGAAATGTAAAGCAAGCTTTGCACCTTCATTCCATGCCATTACAGGACTTTACACCTAAAAATAAACCAATTCCTGCTTTGAGCCTTAATTGCTTAATTGGCCCAGGCCCTAAAGTTCAGTTAAGGGCTAATCATTAAGCAAGGGTGCAACAAATACTTGTAAACCTACACCTGCAACATTTTTTCTTCTTAAGAATAGTTTTATTTCTATATGGCAATATAAAAAGTGGAATATTGTTGTTCAGGTAAGCAGACAATTTTTCCTGTTGTCCCATTAGTGCCCGTGTCCCCTGCCCCTCCCTCTTTTACTCCCCCTGGCTGTGATTGGACCGGCTGACAGCCACTCCCACCTGAAATCCACGCCCTGCCCGCTTCTGTCTAACGCAGTTCCTGCAGCACAAAGGATACAGTTACCGAACAGCGTCAGGACAATGAAGTAGATGGAGGAGAGCATTCCTCTTCGCACACCGCCCTGCGACTCAATCCCATGATACATCACGGCATTCCAGTCCTCTCCTGTTAGGATCTAAGCAGTGGCAGAGTAATTGCTGTGTTCATACAGCACATGCATGAGGAAAAATGAAAATGTATTCTGCTGCACCATGGAGCCTTTCCTCTTACAGAGCTGTCAAGCGAGTGGAAGGTTCAAAAACATCATACCTCAGGGATCTTGACCCATTTATGAAGCAGGGGATTCTTCTGCAATAAGAGAGCATTGTGCCTTTCTCAAGGATATTAGAGCAGTGCCCCGTCTGGAATTTGGGAACCCCCAGCCTTCCAGTGATGAGTTTATTGCTCCACACGGTTGCCATGCTGAAAGGCCCCCTGATTCCTCTAGACATACTCGCACCACGCGACCAGCTCACCTGGAACACTGTGAGAATGGCAGCAGGGAAAGTGTCGAAGTTGTTAGTGGGAGTTTCATCCTCAAAGTTAAACCTGAGGAAGAGAGAATAATATTTTTAAGTCACCTGTCGCCCCACATGAACTGTAGCATATGCAGTGTGTATAGGTACACACTTTCCAGTGCCACAGTTAACTGTCTGAACAAACCACTTTCACTGAAGCATTGGGGAATCTACTTTTCAAGAGCAGGGTACATAATTCTAGATACAATCCATTGTATGCCATGAAGAAGGGACTAAAACACAAGGAAAGTAAACTCAGTTCTCAAGAGACTGAAAATATCTGGCAGTGCTACAGGTACAGGTGCTTAGAACTGCTGTGAAGGAGTCTCTAGTGTACAAATGGGATGTATATTATAGGTCTTAACACTAAGCACCTTTAATAGACTGTATAAACCTTTAATAAATAAAGATAAAATATAATTATTTTTTTATTTTTAAAATATTAATAAAAATAGGATTGAAACCTGAAGACAGCAATCCAGAAAGTTTTTGAAATTTCTTGAAACCACCAAGAATTTAAGAGCTACCCAAGATAGGAAAATGTGTCGTCGTCCCCACCCCACTCAAACGTCAATCTCATCAATTCAACCCCGTCTTACTCAAGCTTTGACAGGCTTAACTTGCAGCACGGTGGCTTTCCAGGACGCGGATCACAAGAGCCTGACCTAGCGAGACAAGTCTGGCTGTGGCACTCAAAGATGGCAACTGGAGAGCCCTGTGTTATTGTATCATCGGACTGCTCCAGATCGAATTCACAGTTAACCGAACTACAGACATACCAATGGATTGCATAGGTTAACTGCCAACATGAAAAGGGTGTATAATAATAAGGATAACCGGCTTCCTGTTCACTTTAGCCATGTTATTCTATTACACGGGGCTTCTGGGGACATTCCATCTCATTGAGGAAGTCCTGGGCACAAAGGTAAGGCACAGTGACACACACGCACAGTATTCATACAGAACACATGCGGGTACCCACATCACAGTGGCACACCTGATGACTCTCTGGCTGTTTTTAATAGATCCGGTCTGAGGGGTCCCCTACAGATCGCGGGCTCAGAAAAGGTGAAGGTTGTATCTTTTACACCGAACAAGTACGGCATGTTGGGCATGCTACAACAGGAGGCACACGACGGGTCTTTCCCCAACCTTCACAGCAATCCTCACTGATGCAGGGGGGTCACAGCCCCAGGGGGAAGACATGTACTTCGTACAGTAGTACAAACAACCCTTTTCCCCAACAGGAATGGCAAACACTCACTCCTATTTAGGAAACGTTACTATCTCAGCTCTTCTCATGATAAACAGCACACAGGCACTACAGGCTTGGAGGCAGGCTGGCTCATTGGGGATATCAGATACAATTCTCAATCTTATACAGTGCTCATCAGCGCTCATCAGCTTGGTAAAGGATGTTTTAAAGTCCCTTTATTTCCTATGGCAAGATTCAACCCCGATTTTCCTAAAGTTTAGAGAGGCAAAACTAGCAATAAGATAATTTAACTGCCCATTAATACATTCAAATTCTTCTGCATTTCATTCCATCCACACCTGGTGCAAGCAGAAGAGCTTAGAAAGTCACCTTCATAACGTGGTTTCATTTAGAACAAGGGAAGAAGCTGGGGTGTGCAGAGGCAGGGGATCACACACTGTCCTTCAGGGAACTCGAAGGGAACTGGACCCTTCTTTATTCCCTCCTAGGGAATTATCCAGCACATTTATGCGCACAGGATGAAGTTCATCCAGACTAAAACTCCAGGCAAACGGCTGTATAGAGTATGGTGACTGTACTGGACTCCCCAGGTGTGCCCCCGTGAGCACACCCCCGCAGGAGCAGCGCAGCAGCGCCACGTGTCTGTCTGTCTCGCGGGGAGCGGTGTGGGTTTGCCATTCCACCTTCTTCCTTCTCCCACTGCACAGCCCCACGCGTTAAAACCCACAAGGGTGTATTGACCCTCACTCACACAAAACCAGCAGCATGATCTTCATTCACCTCATTCAAGGGTAGAACTATTTAAAAAAAGATTTTCAGAACTGACAAATTAACCAAATTCTATCGTAAGAAAATTGCCAGTGATGTTTTATAAGACAAAATCTCTAATAACATGTTTTTTTTTTATTTTTAGACTGACAATCCTGACCAAATAATTACATTGGTACAACTTTTAAATAATAACAACAAAAACAACAACACTTTTGCAGAGGTTTTGTGCAAATGCTTTGCAATACATCCCTCACAGCACATATTTACTGAAATATTTCAGTGGGACAACAGCCAACGCCCAACTCAGAGGTCAGAGGTCACACACAGCGCCCCACGGGGGACCAGGTAGGGTCTCATTTTGAACGAGTGTCTGGGTGAACAAACCTGTCAGAACTTGTGTCTGGCGCCTTGGAACTGAAGAAAACAGGGAGAAGATAAAACAAACGGTGTTTGGAGCCCCACAAGAGAAACAACAGCAACAACAACAACATAACTCACAAACAGCACTGTCACTGTTCGCTGAGCGACACTGCCGTGACTTACTGCTGACTGCTCTCTGGCTGGCCCTGTCTGAGCTATGTGCAAGCTGGAAAGTGCTAAGATTAATAACCCTGCTTACTGCAGAGCTTCAGGCCCACACACAGATAGAGCACCCTCAATGCAAGGGGCATGCATCTCAAACTACACATGCCCCTTCCATCAGTATACACTGTTCATCCCCATCCCCTGTCAGCTGTGCTATAGCTGTGCTGTTAGCTTGTTTCCACCTGTTCACACATCCGGGGGACAGCTAGGATCTCACAAACCAGTGAATCCACGAGGCTAACAACTCCTGATTGCAGTTATTCTTTTGGTTAAGTAAAAACAAAAAAAATGTAGTGTTTAATGATAATGAGAACATTCCTCTTAAATTGCTGCAGTCTGTTCATATCCTCATGTAGCTTAACTTCAATTTAATTTTGAGCACAGTTTAACCTGATAGCACTGTTTTCTAATTTATCAGTGAATAGAATTGCATATTTTGCGGGTTTGTATTCCTTCATTTGTCTCAGAGTGCTGTTAAGCCCTTGTCCTCTCTTTAAATGTGATGAAATCACAATGTTCATCGAGTGAAGGAACTGAAGAAAAACAAAGGTGTGTTAAAAAAATCCCTCTACACTGTACCTTAATGTTGATTGAAGAGGGGAAAGCAGCATCGGAATACAGCAGGGTTAAGCACTGAAACCAGCATGAAGGCTTGGAAGGAATGACTGTTGCATCTACTCTGATGCAGAGCATGCAGGTAAGGTTTGCAAGGGAAATACCAGGTACAGTACGAAATGAACTCTTGCTTCAGCACTGAAACGGTGCTGTGGCGTTTTCCTGTGAACCACACTCTTCCTGCAAAATCTGTTTCCTGCATAATTCAGATCCCTGCCACCTCAACCCTTTACAGCAATGCTAGTATGTTCCCTTCATTAATTTACACACAAAAAATAGTTTTACATCTCTGAAGCATTCCAAGGCAAATAATTTTTTAAAACTAATTCCATGCTATTTCTTTTCCCCTGTCTTGTATGGTCAGAGCAAACACTGACCTTCTGATGTACACAGCAAACCAGCGTGAGCAATCCTGCCTATCTGCGGCTACTGCCGACTGTCTCAGTTTGACCATGACCACATCCGACCTATCCAGTCTCTAGAATTCCTGCTGGCTTGACAGAACCCCAGAACCCTGGCCTGGGGTTGAGGTACAACGTCCCAGGTCAAATTAAACAGGCACAGTGAAGACAACCTGACAGGGCCAATGCACTCTACACATTAGGCTCATGCTAATGCACCCAGGAGTTCTGCTGTGTATTGGGAGAATTGCACTGCAGGGTTAATCCCAGGCGGCAGAATCCTGAAAACAAACTGTACACCTTGCTCACACCTGAAGAAGGCTCCACGGCCGAAACGTTGTGTTCTCTTTCTTCTTTTTTTCAGCATGGAATAAACCTATGACTTGTTCCTTTGCAGCCTGCGCATGCTGACGCAGCTCCCCACCTGAACTACTGTACACCTTGTGTGTGGTTTTCTCCAAGCTTCTCCCTTTGAAGAAAAGCGATTTTTGTGTCTCTAAGCACCCGCGCTTGACTAAGCGGCAGTCACAGTCAGCAGGGATCTCTCACCTGTGTTAAGATTGTACGCCAACAACGTGGACCACTGGGACTGCAGGCCGGATAAATCCGGAGAGACGGAATAAAACGGCACCTCAGAGGAGGAGCTGTCAACTCAGATGCCTGGAAGTAGCAGCTCAGGATTCTGCCCTTTTGCCTGCCTCAAGTGTACCTACAGCCTTGTGAATCAACTACCGCTAGATGTTCGTGGCAGGGGAACAGAGAGACGTCTGTATGCGGGAAGGTCATCAGAAAGAGTTACGAGGCATGAGCTGAGATCCACTATGTGGCCGACTGAATGTCAAAAGAGAGGTGCTAAAAATGTAGGATGTGAAAATCCCTAAAAAATGAGCTTTGATTCTTAAAAAAGCGTTGAAGGAAAGTTACTGTGAAGTTTTATCATAAACAATTGCAATGAACTACCAGACCAAAAATGAAATTGAACAATTACTTAATTCTTTGAATCAGAATCTCCGATTAGGATCAGTTTGGACAATACATTTAAATCTAATGTGGTAAAGTTTTTCTTATGAATGTAAAAGAAACATCTAACTTGCTTGCATAAAGCAATGTGACCACTGTGTTATACTGATGGGAAGGATCAATTTCCAAATTTGTGGGATGGAAATCCTAAATTCCCAGTTTCCTGCACATCTGCATAGCTCATAAACACAATTCCAAAGTGAAGCACAATAAAAAAGAGGAAAGGAACTGTGATCTCATGTGATTAAAACAACATGCCACTGCCAGGAATAATACAGTTTATCTTTTTATTAACACAACAGAACACTTCAGCATTTTTATGAACTCTAGAATATGAATATGGCAGTGACACTGTAACACTTTTTTAATGAAATGGACAGAACAGTACTATAGTAAGACGTATTGTAAGATCTACAGAAAACCGTCTTGATAGTACTATGCCAAAGGGAATCTCAGATCTACTGAGCTGCTATAGTGCAGTTACACCATAATATAAATTTGGGACTACGTAGCTCACTGTTTAGAACCTCTTTTTTATTACTTTAGTGCTTTCCACATCTAAAACAGACTTTGCAATTCTATCAAATCACACTACTTTAAAGCTTAAGAACAACAATGCAGGTTTCTCTTCCATAACTAGTGTATTGTACAGTATGCACATTATATTTTACAAAGCAAGGGGACTTTGTAAATAGTACATTCATGCATGGTTTTGCACAGAAGCCAGTGTGAAAAGCTACTTTTTTTTACAAATTCAGTGCCCTGAGCCCTGCGTGTGCAAGAGCGCTGCGCCATGCAGAGGGGTGAGAAAGACTGTTAATGTATCCGGGTGAAGCGAGGGGCTGGTGAACAGGGACAGGGGGGAGAGTACTCACTGGCCGCCGAAAAGCTGCATGCCCAGCAGAGCGAAGACGACGATGAAGAGGAAGAGGAGGAAGAGCAGGCTGATGATGGACTTCATGGAGTTGAGCAGGGACACCACCAGGTTCCGCAGAGAGTTCCAGTACCTGCACAGCGAGACAGCCACACGGGCAGACAACGAGAGACAGGCAGGCGGACAGAAGGGTATACGGGACATCAGGTGAACTGTCCAGAAGAATGGATAATGCAGCGCTTGGTTATGGGCTCTCATATACAGTATCGCACTCCACTCCAAGGCCCAGGGGAAAGACGTTTCTGTTGGAAATGTAAACTGATCCATAACCTGATTGTCCTCCCACTCACACAATTATAAGTACATCTAGTATTTATTAGATAATAATAACTTTCCTGCATTGTAAACTGCTGCAGCTAATGTGGCTGGATTTGAAAGTGCACGCCTCCGCTCCCTGACGCAGTGCAATGTATAACTCTCTTAAATCTGACACCGGTGCTATTTCTATGCCACTGCGCATGTGACTCTGAATACTGGCTTGTCGATTGCAGGATTACTTCAAAACATAAAACGCGAGGCTGGGGCTGAGAATCAGTAAGGACAATGCACAGAAAAGCACATCTAACTGTGATAAAACTCAATCCAAGAGCCTGTTTACATCCTTCTTATCTGCCATACCGTAAATGTTTAATTAAAAATGTCATCAATTAAGTGTTAATTGTTTTAATGGATCTCACTGTTAGATGCAGGGTCCCATGCCCACCAAATACACAATCTGTTGCGCTCTTTTGTCCACACAGATATCCAATCTTAATCCAATAAGCGGCAGAATGTAATTTCTTCATGCTAAATCCTCACAAACTGACGTATGACCCCACATTACGTTTAAATGCACCACAAAAGACAACTACTCTCCAAATTAGCTTAAGTGCATTTTTAATTGGGTTATTAACCACAAACATATTATATCTTTCTTAGAATACTATAATATACAAACTGTAAACAGAAAGAGAAACGTAGAACAAATTTGCCCTTCAAAGACATCTTCTGAGTGTATTAGATTTAACATGCAGGGTTTCGACAACATCCTGTCTCTCTGTGTTGATTTGCAATTAAGTTAAATGAAAACTGATTTCCCAGCAGGGTGAAGCTGGAACAAGCTGCAGGAAATGCTTCTTGTTGACTGAAGATGACAATGATTCTTGTGCCCTTAAAAAAGAATTCCGAACCAGAAACCAGTCCTCCGTCTATAAATAAGCACGTTTCAGGTGTGGATCAGTGCACCGAAGGGAATAAATGAAAAGGGAACAAAATTAAAAGACAGAGGCAGAATGAGCAGAATGATGCAGCAGCCTGTAGAGTGTACAGTATTTAGGGCTTGAGGTTATTGGTTTTAATCGATGATAACTGGAAAAAAATCATTTGCCTGTAGACCGGCAAGGTGGGGGCATTGTGCTGGTTAGTCCCTTCATACAGTCATTCAGTATCAGAAAACTGCTTATTTCTGGTGAGGGTCACCTGCAGCACAGGAGCGGGGCAGGACACCAGTCCGCTGCAGGGCACACACGAGCACAGAGGGGGCAATTTAGAGACAACAGTGAAACTAGTCAGGATGTCTTTGGCCCCTCTGAATGTGTATATTACAGAACCTGAATAGATCAAGCCCCATGTGTATTAAAGGGAGGCGATGGGAAGGAAGCAGACTTACTTTGTTACTTTGAAAATCCTGAGCAGACGCAGGGCTCTCAGGACACTGATGCCGAATGAGGCCCCGGGCTTCACTGCTGCCCAGACCACCTCAAAAATACTACCCACTATCACCTGGCAAAGAGAACAAGAGGAACAGGATACAAAGAGTGAAGCCAGGAAATTATCTTCATTAGGAAACTAGCTTCTTATATCCCTTAAACTACTTCAGGATTTGACAGCAGAGCTACCAACTTCTAGCCTAAAGTCTCAGGAGCTGACAGTGCTGAGACAGGACCTCCAAGGTATACCTGGAATGCACTGTCTACATTGTGTGGTGCTGTCTGTTCTACTGTGCGTGTTCTGAGAGAACGGTACAAATAACAATCCCATTGTACATGTCCAAATGGCAAAAAACTCTCCTCTATATATCTATCATGTAAACTGTTGTACTTCAAGCCTAGACCACGGTTTAACATGTACTCAGACCCACCCCAGAAACGAGGACTGGGAATGGCCCAAACCAGATGATTGAGAACCATCAAGAAAGACACACTCTTCCTTTCCTGTTAAGAAGGGCTTTCAGGGATGAAAGAGAAGGGAATGTGGTGTGAAAGGGAAAACTGGACTGTTGGGTGGGGTGTGTTCATCGACTCGGACTCACCCCAAAATCAAAGCAATTGAAAGAAGAGTGAAAGTAGTTTCTGGGTCCCAGCCCATACATCTTCAAGGTCATCTCGGTCAGAAAGAGGCCCAGGAACACAAACTCAGCCAAGTCTGGAACACCATGCCACCCAGAAAAACAAGACAGACGACGTGAGGGTTAACTGTGCGGCCCAGCGGTGCACAGGTGACGTGGGGGTGCAGCACACGGGACCTACACAGCGCCTTGGTGAGCCAGTCCGGCTGGTCGTAGTGCACGATGGCCACGCACAGTGTGTTCAGGGCCACCAGGCACAGGACGATCCAGTAGAAGCTCTGCGACTTGACCATGCGGCGGATGAAGAACCGCAGCCTCTTCTCCTTCCGCCGGAAGTAGGAGGAGCTCTCGTTCTTGCCGCTCTTCAGGCTGGTGCGGGCGAACGGGGAGCCTGGCCAGCGTCGGGACAGAGAACACGGGTCAGGGCCGACCGGCCGGGGGGGTCATCCCTCGCCCTCTCACCGAGGGGGGCCGCACCCACCCGCCTGCGAAGCCCTTCCTCAAAATTTGAGGACGTGTTAAATCCAAACACTTCCTTTTTATCCAGTTAACTTGGAACAGAGCATGCGCAAGGAAGCAAAACGAAATGCCACTCACAGCTCTACAGTTCTAGAAGGGGCAGGGCGGGGGTGCTGCATTATCTCTGCAAAAGATGAGTTTCCACTGCCTTCACTGCTCTTTTTTTTAATCATTAAGGCACAGAGGGGCCCACTCACGGGCACGCCCACCTGTAGAAGAACTCTTCCCAATGGCAGCAAGCAAATAGGAACTGACTGGGTAAATAATCTAATAGCTGATTCTGCGAGAGGGGTTTTTAAAGGCTTAACCCAATCAGTTTTGGAAAACCTGCAGGACCGGGGCTCCCAAGCTGCAGGGCAGTGCTTTAATCAGCCGAGAGAGTGGCCGCTTCCAGAGACCTCCTCGGCCCCCACTGGCGGCCCTGCAGAGCACGACCCCAAGTCTGCCCTCACTGTGTGAGGCTGGGCCGGTGACGTCCTCCCTCCTCTGGTCCCGCCACTCCCCCGAGTGCACGCCCACACGAACACTCGACCCACCAAGCCCCTTCGCCAGCTGGCTGGGAGGTTGTGGGAGTGGAAAGGGAAGTCTGCTGCTGGAGCAGCCCTCTTCTCTCCTGCTCACAGTCCCTGCAGACACTGCTCCTGAGCAATATTAAAAACCTCAAATCTTAAATTAATCCCAAATGTCAGCTGGGCATTAAAAAAGTGAAAAATCATACTATTACCACCTCATTACTCCTCTTGAATGAGCCCAGGAATAATCATTATTCAGGCTATTTTGAGCACAGATTAAACTCCTGAAGCACCACGTGTTTCTGACACTGGAACGTGCACTGTAACATTCGTTTAGATCACTATTCATGCCTTTCTGCAGTGCTGAGGACTTTTTACCTCAAACCAAATATAAAATCCCAAATAATTAAGACTCCCTCATGTGGATCTAATTTCTGACTCAGTCTGAAAGCACTTGGGCAGCAGAATTTCAAGGCTTTAAGTGCCATTAAAAACCGAGGCCACAGATACTGTAGTAGCAAATCTTTCCCTTATTAAGCATACTTCTTTTGGCTACTGTCATTATTCATTTGCAGTCTTTTTTTTAGGCTTTTGTTTGAATTTGCTCAGCACTGCATGTTTAATGACAATGGGCAGAGTTCATAAGCCCTGGTTAGATTTGATCTTCAGATTGTGTCTAAGACTGGTGTTCGAGTGAAGTCAACCAAGATAGTACTGTGACGCTACTGCCTATGGACCACTACATCTTCTGACACTGCTGCTGCCAATTACTGCTGTTACACTGCTTTTGCTCTTAAGACTGTGCCTGCTAGTACTGCTAAGAAGTAATACTAAGATTTCTACTGTTCATACCTCTGCTTCTGCTGGTATTACTACTATCCCTTCCCTCACATCTACTATCCTGCAATCAGCAATCCTAGCTGGTTACCCATTAGCTAAGAAGATATCATGAGACCCATAAATGTCTTATTTTCAATTACCTAGGAAATGGGTTTCCCTGAGAGTCAGGGGTCAGAAAGTTCAGGAAAAGATGGGTTAAACAAGTTTTTTCCACTTAAAGCAGAAGAAACCACAATCAAGAACCCAGCGGCTGATTAAATTAGGTAGGTACTGGACATTTTCTGGGTTTAATCTACTCAAATGCCCAGATTGGTTACCAATCAAAGAACTCCTGAGTCTTTTCCCAAGCCAGGAGTGGAGTGCCTTGCATTCCCAACAATATTCTTTTTTACAAGACTGAAATATGAACTGAACACATCTTTCAGGTTCTTGTAATGAAATCTGGAGGACAGACGGTTGGCAGTTAAGATAAACTTGTATTAATCAATCACTGTGGCTTCCCATTTCACAGTTTTAACTGCAAGTTATTCTCTGCAGTCCTTCAATTATTTCAGCTGTGGCTAAACGGGGCCCCCTCCTCTGTATCAGGCCTGTGTGAGTCTGTCATGCTGCAAACATAATGCTGTGAATTAATAAGAGTTGACCTGACATTTCAGAGCGCCCCCTCACACAGGCCTGGCTTTGAGAGAGACTCAAAACAATTAAAATGATCCCTTGGAAAAAACTGAGAGCCAGGGACAAGAATTGGGTTGGGTTAGCATGACTGCAGGTGTACGGGAGTTCCATGCACTGTCAGTGTTATTTAATTTAAAAAATCAAGCAAATGTGACTTATCTTATTACTTTTTATTCTTAGTCTTATTCACTTTTTTATCCTAGTACTGCTATTAATATATAATAAGAATAGATGTGGTTGTGGAACTCTCCATCAAAATGAATACCTTTGTCCACATTCGCTCTTGTTATGTAGACAGACTGGACATGAATTAGATTAATTCAGTCTCAGGCTGAAATGTTCACTTTTACAACTTGAGTGCATTTAGCAGTGTGCTACACCGACTTCCAGTCTGTGACACTGTAAACTGAATAGTACAGCCTGTCCAGACACTTGTTTGCATTTAAACCAGAGTGGCTCAGTGTATTTCAGCACAGACTGCGCAGGCTGGGATGCAGAGATCAGAAGTCAGAGAGTAGTCTCACCCACGGAGGAGATGTCTGTGAAGTGGTCCTCTCCTTCCTCAGCGTGGATCAGGTCATTCTTGCTCTTCTTGGTCTTGGCTCTTTTTAACACTACACACAACCAACAGGCAAAGACATGATGTTATTTAGGCACAGCAAAACTGCTGACTGAATGTTAATCACATGCTTGTCACCAACACCTGCATTTTGGAGAGAATACCTCCACATGTACAGAAGATAGATTTGATTAACTCTGTGCATATGGAAGTAAAGGCAGAAAGGGACTAGATTTTTTACAATTAAGCTGATGCTGAGCTTTCCTCCGAAAACCTGTATTGTTAAGTCAAGCAATTTCCGACAGCAAAAGAGCAACAGTAGGAAGTTAAACTACAGCTAGAAAAAGGTGTCAAAGGGATCTTTTCCTTCCATTTGGCTCCTCCACGAGTAGCAGACTGCGAGCTCAAAAACAGGGCCTGGTTATTTCTTAGTGACTCCAGTATTCCAGCTGCTTCATCTTCTCTGTATCAAACTATTCCCTGGATTTATATACTTCTCCATGTCAAGATGTTTTCTGAAATACAGCAAGAACCTGTTCTCGGCTACAATGGAGACCAGACCGCGGCATCTGCCATGAGGCTGGTAGTAGAAACACAACCCCACTTGAGCCGTGGAATTGAAGGCAAGGGGCAAGCACAGGTCTAACACCAAAAAAACACGACCCACGTGGCACTAAAGTCCAGGCCAACAGCACAAAAACAACTACAAATAACCAACTGCACTGGGTCACGGAAGTATTAATCCTTGCGTAGCAGCTGTGAGAGTTGCCACAGCCGGGCCGCCGGGCAGCGGATCAGCGGGAGGGCGCTGTGCCTACAGGGATCGGCAGAGGGCTTGATGCAACCCGCCCCACCCAGCTGCAGCTCAACGCCGTCGCCACAATACCAACACTGCAGCAATGCAGCAGGAGGCTCAGTCTGAACGGGGAAATCGAGGAGAAACAAGCTCTCGAGTCTAACAGGGGGATTTTACCGCATTAACAGCTGGAGCCTGGAAGAATCCGCCCTTCCGTATTAAAACTTCATTTGGATTAAATGAGGCAGCTCACTGCCGGCACAGGGACGCCACATGCTGGGCGCACAACAGTAACTCAGATTCGTCCCCTGCGGATTAGCAGGCATTGTGTGAAGGATCAAAAACGCCCCTCCGCAGCACAGCCTTTCTCTTCTGGTGTGCCTTGCAGATCTGGGGAGATCCGCAGATCCGGGGCTCTGACAGGAGGAAGGGCGCGCAGGTCTCTAAGCTGCGCGGTTCTGAAGCGAGCATCACGGCCGCAGGGCAGCGCAGAGCAGACCCGCTCCAAAGGGGTCGAATTTGGGGGACTTTGCACTCTCTGCGACTTTTCTTATTTACTTTCCATCTACAAATCGCTTCGGGGGTAGATTTCCCTCCACCCCCACCTAAGCCCGCTTGCGATGTTTAATTTTGGCTGGAAACACGCCGTCCCCGCTAAAATTTTGCATTTCGTATAAAATAATATATACGTGTCAGCAGTGTTTCACAATATGTTGCTATGATATTCCGAGACCTTGCCGATGTTTAGCTCAATCTACCCTGCTGGGTTAGGCTGGCTGGACAAGAATCCACTGGATGAGATCCTGGATCAACTGACTTCCAACAAGTGTACAAAGCAACAGATAGATGGCCTGAATGGTTTCCACCAGTTTGTGACCCTGCACGTCTTCTAACAAACACAATACCTTCAGGACCTCAGATTCACTCAACCCCCTTCGATACTGTTCCACTCCCAGATCCGCCTGCCCCTTTCTAATTCTCATCAGCTCATCCCCCACAGGACCCCCAGTTAAGGCCTGGGCTCAGCAGAGTGCAAGGCACCAACTGCATCTGCTGTCTTCGTGACAGACCTGCCACACACAGCCCTGTCAGAAGACCCAGACTGATCAGCGTGCTCCTCTGCGAGACACAGCTCTGTGTTCAGTAGTAATGCTATTAGGTGAGGCTGTGTAATTACAGCTGCGTTGAGCACCTCCACAATTGCAGAGACTGTGGCACTGCTGTGTGGGGCGGACTAATGTTTAATTAAGTCTAGTCCCATGATATCCAAATAATATTTTTCATTATTTTTTTAATTACCGCTATATTACCTGAACATTGTTGTTTTACAGAAAAAGACATGACTGGTAAGTACAGGATCTTTAATTTTTTTCTTAGATTTCTGTCAACAGTGCTCCTTAGGGGGACTTCCTTGTCCCCCTAAGCCCTGTGTCAGTTTAACCTCAAACCAGTGCCAGAACCCTGAACTGAACTGACTGATCACTCTGCCAGCGGCTGCAGATTTCAAGGTTCTTGCAAGACTTTCTAAATCATCTGAAGACCCCCACCCCACCCTGCTGCCCTCACACACACACACTCACCCCCAGCTGATCACGAGCTGCAATCCAAAAACGTTTTAAAAAACAGAATATTGGTTCAGTTAAGCAATTGACAGCAAAGCTGAAACAGAAATCAGAAGGCAATACTGGACACTACTGGTTTGGGCCCACTAAACCAGTAGTGAGCAACCATCAGGTTACTCTACGTGTTTGGAACTGGCCATTAATGTTATTATATTACTCATTTCTTCCTGACCCAGGTTTGGAAGACCCTGCTTTAGAGAAAACAAAACACTTTAAGGCCCATCCCTTGCCGTGCCACCCACCGTCCAGCGGAGATTTCTCCTCAGCGATCCTGTCCTCTTCTGCCAGCATGACCTCCTCTGGAATGAAGACACATGGATCAGGATTCTTCACGTCAAAGTGCAGAGACACCCCCCCCATCCCAGCCCCTCCCTGACCACCTCCACATATGCCCCACTCGCTGCAGTACTGCCTTCTTATGCCCAAAATGAATAGGCCACCACCAATCATTACACTGGGCAGCTCCCTTGCTGAGATCAGGGCTCTTGCAGGTTAAAGTCAGCGCGTCATGTTCTACACCAAGCTGGACCCCGGCGATTCTCCCGGGCTGGCCGACCCGCAGACCTTAGCGAGTCTCTGTGTGAAGGCCAGCGTGGGTCACGCGCTGGGAGCCCGGTCTGACAAGGACAGGCAGACGTACAGCAGCCTCGGTTCTTCTAGAAGCTTTTAGACTCTCCCTCCACCACAGCGCACTGCGGACAGCTGCAATCAGGGCTGGGGCTTGGGGAGAGCCAAACCAGGCCACAAGCCAATTTCGGAAAAAGGTCTCTCTCTGTCCCTCTTCCACTCATGTCCGCCCTTCTCATCTCTGCAGCCATCTCTCCTGTAGCCTCTCCAGACCCGTTCTTCCCTGTTCCTTTGTGCATCGACATCAAGGTCCAGAGTCCCGCACAGAGCTTACAGTGGTGTCTAAATGTCAAGCATTCATGTGGCCATGAAAGAACTGCTCTGGCCACCACTGAGATGACCAGAGTTCCAACACCCCAGCCCCTGTGGGTCATCTATGGATTTCTAAAAACAGCTTTATACTTGCATTAGACCTGACTGAAGACTAAGTTAAAAAAAGACCTCTATTAAATCGAGAGCTTAGCTCTCCTGGTAGTTCCTCAAAGAGCACAGCAGAGGGGCGCGGCTGCACACAAGCAGGCCCGTGCAGGCGTGTTGAATGCATGCAGACCAGGAGCCCGGCTAGGCCAAGCAGAGAAGGGAGCGGGAATCTGGAGACCAGCCTGACCTGCCTTGCATATCCACTCCAGGTACCCGGTCAGCTCGCGCTCGATCTGCTGCTGGCGTCGCAGCTTCAGGAACTCCTGCCTCTTCTCCACGCGCTCACGCTCCTTGGCAAACTCGCTGCGGGACAGGGACAGGGACAGGGACAGGGACAGATCAGAGCCTCGTCTCGGCTTCAGTTCACAACCGTGACCCCCCACCGCACAAGGAGAGGTCACTGTCCAGGAGTAACACAGGCTAGAAACTTCACCCCATCGAAACATGGACAGCTTGATTTGAGCAAAACCTCATGGCACACCTACGACAAGACAAGTCTTGAGAAACACAAACTGCTGAATTGGGGAGGGCTGTGAGAGTGATGAGCGAGTGAGCCTGTGACTGCCAGGAATAGGGGTCTGTTCTCCCAGACTTTGGTTACAAACTCCAGTCACTGACTGCCAGGCATTCCAAGGTTAATAAGGCTGACGCTGTCCTTCCCCCAGCAGACGTGATTATAATAATGCAATATCTGTAGGGACACAACGCTGACATTCATACGTCATTCGTAATGACGCTGCAAACCACCCTGTGGAGCAGGACACTTTACTGCTGACAAACGCATTGCCTAACTAGCAGAGTAAGTCCAGAGAACTTTGTTAATTAACTTACAGTACACTTACAGATTTTCTTTCTTTTATTTGTGTGGAATAAATTAACCCTACCCCTACCTGTGTCATCACAGCTTACACTGTTAACAGTGAATGACGGCAGTGCAGTCATGAAAGATTCTTTCACTAGTATGGTGCTTTCTCACAACGGAAGGAGCTACATAAACTAATCATTGTTTTTTTTTTTCCTGTAGCAGCAGGGGGGGTGGTGACTCCGTTACGTTCTAATCAAATGAGTATTGCAGTTAGCAGGAATTGTGACCTTTTCAGAATAAAAACCAGTGTTCTGAATTCATTGTAAGTGTAGCCCGGTAGATGTGTTCTGTCCTGTGTGTTTTATTTTTGCATTTGAGAAGACAAGAGAGTAGGATCAAAAGCACAACTCTCACTAAGAACGATACCAGTCACAAATGGTTTGCAAGTGTTCTGGGGCAGCACCAGCGCGGTTTAGATATTTAAGATGAGACCTGATCTCTATTCCGTCCACAGCAGCTTTTTAACCGCAGTTGAACAGAGAGAGAGTGAGGGAGGGAGAGGCCTGAGAGAGAGGTAGCTGCTTAAGAGATGACAGGAGGGAGAGGCGCGGTCTCTTCATATTGATCATTTTCTGTTGAAAAGGAGGGGGTTCTCCTGTTTCAAGGGGAGATGGGGAAGGGTGGGTTAGGTGGTCACTATTAGTATTGTTAATGTCACTGGTGGTCTATGGATAAGTGTTTGTTCGACGTATTTGTGTTGACGGCTCCGATCAGTACCAGCCCTGCCGACGAGAGGAAGAGAGAGAGAGAGAGAGAGAGAGAGAGAGAGAGAGAGAGAGAGAGAGAGAGAGGGGATCCCCCTCCCACGGCCCAGTCACAGCTCTGCTTCGATTGGGCACCCCCCCCACGCGTGAATACAGGCAGCCCCTCCCTTGGGGGGCACGCGCTGGACTGAGGGGGCGGTCAGCCTGGAATCCCAGCACTCCCGCAGGCGAGGAGGCTCCCAGCCTCTCTTCAGACTGCTCCCCGTGGAGCTCAAGGAAGCACTTTACCCACGCAGCACAGGAGCACGGCTCCAGAGCTGCCTTATGTTTCTGCTTTACTCAGCACCAAATAGGATGTGCATACACAGATACTGTATAGCAAGATCTTGACACATATTTAGTAGATACTCTACGCTTATTTCACTAGATGCCTTCACCTGGGTTCTCATCTACAGGCAAATACTGTACATATAATATTCCTTTCGAAATGGGAGATGAACAGTTTATTTCAACAATGCCATAACCACGATTATGCGGGCTACCGCCTCCCTGTTGAAACTCGTATACTGTTTCAGCAGTGCAAAGGTCTGAGACATTTTGCACTGTTCTGCTCTGTTCACTGAATGCTCTTCCCTCTTTGCACAGAATGATGATTCAATGGCGATCTCCAGCTGAAACTTTGCCGGTTTGTTTGAAGCTGGCAGTTAATTCTATATTTTGTAGCACAAAAGGCAGCCTTTTAGCTTCAAGGACGAGTGATGAGGAAAAACAACATTATTGCTGCAGCAAGAGGGGCATCTGGGTTAGCTTGTCTGCTTGACAGCCTCACCACAACATTACATTAATGACGACACAACAGCTGACAACGAGTCAATTAGATCCGACTGGTGGTGAATTGGCTCCTACTGTACAACACTTCATATTGGCTGCTCATGTAGTTTACCCTGGCTTGCTGTGATCAAGTTAAGTTCACTGTGAATTTAAAACTACTAAACAACAAGCACAGTCTCTTCTCACTCAAACTGAGCTGTAACAATCACAGTTGTTGTAATTGGAGAAAACACTAGTGTAGTCTTACAGTGTATTGTTGATCCTCATAAACATATATTTTAGTCTCAGACTGCATCTGAGACTAAGGGCTTTATATAGCAGCATCCATTCCATCAGCTGTACTTCCTACAATACAATTTCATAAGACCACTGCACCTCAATTAACTACAATTAAAAAATTTAAAATTTAACTTACTTATAAATTAAAACTATACATGGTTAATAGCATATCCTGCAATACAGCACAGATATACTATAAATGCACAGACACTGACATCTGAATGATCTATTTCCCTTCTTTTACAACAGAGTTAAAGTTTTGTGTAATTATAGAAATATCATATGCCTTTTCTTTTATTGACTGTCCCCGTCTTTATCCTCCTACCCCCCAGAATCGACCAACCTGTAATAGTAAATAAGGTAGCGGATCAGAACCAGGTGCGGGAGCCAGGCTGGGGCCCCCTGTGCGACACTGGACTCCCCGCTGCCCGGTCCCCCGGACGCCTGACCTTTCCAGGCCCCCCCGCCCCCTGCTGCCTCCCCAGGCGGGGGCTTCTGAGGGACGGCGCACGCTGGTGTCACGGGGAAACAGGCCCCCCCGCCGGCGGACCTCTCTTCTCATCCCTGCGTGCGCCTGGATCCCTCGCCAACTCAAAGACAACGGCCTTTACCTTCTAACAAAGGGCGCAGCTCGGGGCGCGGAGGATAACGCAGGGCGACAGTGCCCGCGGAGGGAGTGTGGGAATGAAAGAGCCGTGTGAAGGTCACTTCAATGGACGCGGTGGAGGCCGACCTGAGAGAAGCACAGGCCCAGCTTGCATGGGGGGGGGGTTCATGGATACACTCCTACTCTATCGCCATGCCCAGGAAACACAGGGCAAGCAGGAAATTATGTAAAGTGACAGGACCTGCCCGCCCAGTGCCCAGAGCTCACATGTGACCGCAGGACGCAGGAATGTCGTTACAAAATGTTTGCATAGCACAAGGAGGAGTGTTTTCTTCTGCTCTTGTGCTCATCATATTACAGTCTTCCTTGGCTCGGCATAGTTGACCGTATTTCTTCACTCAAAAAATTCCCTGCCTCAAGGTAACCACTTGCAAAAGTTGCAAAAGGAACTAGTGAAAAATTAGGTGAATTAAAAAAAGATCATGCTAATTAGCACGTATTTCTCCATTAAGAAACACTACATTACATTCTGTCTGAATGTAACTGTTCCTAGACCACATGCTGCTGCTCAAGCTACAGAATTTCCATTAAACTGACTCCTGGATACCTCAGTGTGTTTCTCCTGTGTCATCATATTTGAAGGGGAAAGTAAGAATAGTTAATGCAGATGCCCAGATGTCCCCATTCCCAGCTCAAAGGTCAGTGCTGGATTTCGTTAGAGGGAAGCACAGATCATGGTGGACTTGTCTGAATGATATATTGCACTTTCAGCACCTGGAAGAGCGACAGAGCTGGATAACAGCCCAAATCCCCACTGCAGAGCATTACAAAATAGCCCTGGTCCGGCTCTCAGCTCAGTCAGTTACACCGCTAGCAAGGAGGTGGAATCACAGCTTCCTTCCCTGTCATGCAGGCCAGTATAAAGTCTCAGAGAAGACAAACACCCTGCCACCCTCAGAGCGGACAACCACAGCACGGCACCGACAAACGCCTTCACAGAAACGACTGGCGAATCTCTTAAATGTTGTGTTTCTCTCACTGTATCGAGGTGTCAGTAATGAGGATGTGGTGCCGAGCTGTGCTCAGAGTCTACAGGTCGTAAATAAGGGCAGAGAGAGAGGTGAAAAGAGCTTCGAGATGAAAAAGGCCTTAATGATCTCCCCTTTCTTCTTTCAACTGCACCTCCACACATGAATGAGACAATCACTTCCTGAACTAAACAGTTCCAGTAACTGGCAAAATCTCATTGTTTCACTTTAAATCCTAAGCTGGATAGACCCTGAAGACCTTTTTTTTAATAAAAGGTCTAGTTAAGCAAATTATTGATTTGCAAACAGAAGTGAAGTAAGTCAAGAGAAAAACAGGACTGCTGGAGTCCCCTGAGCCAGATCATTGAAGCAACAGTGCAATACAGGAGGGGGCCCAGCACAGTTCCAAAGTTACACAAAGCTTCACCCCAGCTGGGCTTACTTAAATTACTTGAATCAATGTCAGAAGTTGCAGAAGTAAACCAAACGTTATTCACGCTGGTTGGGCCATTAAATTTCCCATCATCCCACCCATCCAACCACTGACAGAAAGCTGCTTGCTCCTGGTCAGGGTGCGACACAGGACTATACCCAGAATGGAACTCCATTTCCGCGAATAAGCCTGAATAACGAGCCGCTAATTGATCGGCCTGTCGGATGAGGAGCTGAAGCACAGTGCAAACCAGAGGGCGTGTCCCAGCTCCGGCGCAGGCACGAAGGAGCACACTGCCCTCTCCCCTCGACACGACTGGCTCTCTTGAGGCTCATGAGGCTTTAAATAAGAGAACTGCTACAGAACCTCAAGCCCCTTTTAAAAACACAGAAAGCCTAAAGCGGAATCAACCAATGAAAACAAACTAAATGAAACCACAGAGCAACATTTACATCAGAGAGCACTGAAAACCATCTGTGGTGTATGCCAGTGAAATACGATTAGATTTCCTTGCAGCAATAAATTCCAGCCCCAACAGCAGCCCAGCTATCGCATAACCTTCTGTGTAGCTGGACTCAGGATAGTCTGGGACTAAGGCTGTGAAAAAGAAGAAGACAGATTGTTCCTTACACAGGGGAGCAGTGTAGGTGCAATGTCCGAAGGCAGAAATGAGGGTTCTTGGAGGACAGATCATTAATGGAAATTTACTCACAATAAAAAACTCATGGATCAGAGCAAATAAAATATTGAAACAACCTTGGAGAAACTCCTGCTGTTTTGCAAATTCCCTCCACAGATAGCAGATGTGCAGAGAATTCAGACTCAGAACGTTCTTCTCAGTAGAAAGACACACACCAGTGCAGGCATGCTGTCTAAACTAAACACGGACTCACCAGACAGCAAGAGCCGCTCTCCAGATAGATTCAGCCTCCCAGAATTAACATTCCCCTTGCTCTAGTATTTCAATGATACCAAACGTGGGCCCAGCATTTAAATTTGCAGATGCACAGACTGATTGTATAACAAGTTTTGATTTAGAAGCCAAATGATGCAGAGATGGGACTGTGCCTGTGGCTGGAAGGTTGTCAGTTCGTATCCTGTGGTCGGCAGAGGAATCCTACTCCGTTGGGCCCCTGAGCAAGGCCCTTCACCCCAGCTGCTCCAGGGGCGCCGTATAAATGGCTGACCCTGCGCTCTGACCCCAAGCTTCTCTCCCTGTCTGTCTCATGGAGAGCAAGTTGGGGTATTAAAAGACAAATTCCTAACACAAGAAATTGTACAGTATATGGCCAATTAAGAGATCTTATCTAATATCTAATATCTAATCTAAGATATGACATTCAGATAACAAACTGCCTCTGCACAGCTCTTTTCATCTGGATTGTTTCCAAAGCGCTTTACGCACAGGTGGGGACACACTTCTTCCCCAACTAGAGTGACATGTAGCTGCCATTTGCATCATCAATACTACTGCACAGCAGATAAGGGGAGGAGGGAGAAACTGCTTCTCCAGTTGAATTAAGGGGGAGCTTAAGGAAAAACAGATACAAACCCAGAGTGGATTTTAACCAGGACACTGGGGTGAACATCCCTACACCTTACAAACAGTGCCCTGGGACCTTTAGTAGTCTGGACTTTGGCTTAACATCTCATCCAATGGCAAGTGGATGCTGCACATTGGTGTTGTTGGAGGGGAGTCCCCATTACCTGTAAAGCACTTTGAGTGGAGTCCAGAAAAGTGCAATAAGTGTTAGCAATTATTATTAATTCTTATAGTGTGGTCGCCCAGTCACCAAAGCAGCAGGTTTAGAAATTCTGGTCAAGAGAGAAAAGCACTATAAAAGCACCGACCTCTAGCTTTTATACATTCTCTGATACTAATTACATGATTTAACTAATTGTTAGGGTCAAAAGTCAAGTAACCTCTTTTTTTTTGTTCTACACTTAGAACAAAGAGAACAAATGTACAAAACATCCCATCCAGCAAGGGGCGGTGTTTGGAAGGCCTCTTACCCAGACAGGACTCCTAGGACCAGGTTCAGCATGAAGAAAGAGCCGATGATGATGAGCGGGACGAAATACAGCCAGTTCCAGGTGTTTCCTGAGGCATCGTTGGCCTGCAGAGAGAGACAGAGACCACTCAGCACTGTCACATTACACATCAGCAGTCATTAGACACAGTACCTCCAAATGGGCACTCACAGCTAAAGATGTCTTACACAGAACTTCAGAGACAGACAGGAGGAGAGAGAGTATAAACTTCAGTACTGGTCCTCTACAATATCTGCTGTCTCGTACTTTGTCCACAGAGGCAATCAGAAAACGGGATAGCAGTTTTCTTTCTTCGGCACAGAAGGTGCAAATCCCGCTGGGAGCCTGGGCTCCAGTCGAGGAGCAGCAGAGGTCAACGGGTTCACACATTTGATCTATTTGAATAACTTGCTGAATGGTTTCCATGAAAACCAGGGTCAATCAGAGCTCCGTCCCTGCTGCTCTAATTGCTACATAGTTCTGATCAAATTGATTTTAAAATACAATACATCAAAGAGATTGAAGAACAATGAAAATTATTATATTTTTTGACAGGCTGGTTAGGCCACTGTGGGACTAAAAAAGGGAGCAAATGAAAGAAAAGATTTAAGAAAGATTAAGAAAGATATAAGCCAGAGTTCAATATTATATGTCATGTACTGGTTGAGAAACTCTAAAACGCACTGCAGAGAAGACCTCAGGCTTTGCATGCTAGTCCAGACAAAGTGCAGAATACATATACAAAGTCATGATTCCAAATCAACGTGCAAAACTCAAAACGTGATCAAGACACAGAGATATCCCTTGGATTATAATGAGCCCACATACTGTACTTATAGGTCAACACAAGCAAGGTGGGAGGGGGTGGCTAAGCACCCCCTTCCCTGCAAGGCCAATACCCAAGTGTAGGAAGACAAGCTTGTGCCATAAATCTATATCACAAGACATATGTTTTTATTTTACAGACTAACAGAACCAATGCAACGTTTTAGGATGTAACCGAACACCGAGTTTCAAACAATTTCTTCCGTGGCGATATTGAAAGCGAGACGATATTCAGCACTTAGCACTCAGTGTCACTGGGGAATCTAAAAAGACTCCACACACACACACACTTATTCTGTGAGGATAAGGGTTAAATATCTGCCTGTTTAATACAATTTCAAGTCTTCTGCTGACTAAAAAAAAATCAAGTCTCAGGATATTGGGACAATCTGTTAAAACAGAACATGAATGAAAGCAATGTAATATAATTTAACAGATGGGCTGATAAACTGATAAACCTCTACAATCAAGTGCACCCAGCATGAGAGTTTCAGGCCCAGAAAATGGATTTCTCCTGAGTGAGACGTACATTAAACAGCACATGTGAGTGGCGCATTATTTATGCAGATGCACTGAATACTCCTCTAGTTAATGGCATCTCCAAGGCCCACTGTGTTCTTTTCCTTCAGAGCTTAAAAAGAACTTCCCAGCTGTGATGTTAAATGCGTGGGGAGAGCTCTGATGTCCATGTGAAATTCATGAGCAGTGACAAGATGTTCGGATCAGAAATCACGCAGATTTGATGCTGTTATTCTGAAGCACCCGGGTGTATCGTCGGTATCGGTGCTCTGAAGTGCTGAGTCGGTGGTAAGAAGAGGTACATTTTAATCTTCGTTCCCTTTCTCTGTTCTTCTGCAGCTCGTTCGATGGCAATCCCTCCTGGGGGGCCTGCTGGCTTCCCCTTTCTGCTCCACTTGAGCTCTTACACAGTTGGGCTCGTTTAATGAACTGATTGTATTGCTAATAAGTGTGACACTGTATAACTGCAAGACTAATAAGCATTACAATACACATTACAATAAATAAATTGTACAATTTTAATACTTTCACATTGACCCCAAGCTGATTTCCAAAGAGCTGTACCTTAATTAATGTTTAAGTAAACGAAAGCAGAAAACATTAAGAAAAATCCTGTACCCGCCTAAGAAAAGAATTAAGCTAAACTGTCTACTTGACTACTTTGTTGAAACAAAAAACAGAAGACACTAGCCTGCCAAGAAGTGGATTTGACACCTCCTGGCTACAGTATCAACATTAAAGTGCAGTACTCTGGTTTGTGCTCCATTTTCAATGCAAACACAGATAGCATGTCTTTGCTCCTACATTTCCTCTGTGCTCTTGAGCAGAAGGACAACATCTCCGACGACAAAGAAAGAATCTAATTCCATCCTTTTGAGCTCAGCTGAAAGGTTTGAGCTCCTCCTGTGGTTCCCAATGACTGAGAACACACATGCTAAGGACAAAAAAGGCAACATGCTTGTTCAATCACATCTTCATCAATCTTGGATTGAGGTTTTAAATAGAAGCTTCTAATTTATTAAAAAAGACTGCTGCACATCTGTTTGGCTTTTATGTGTCAGGATGAAAAGCTGTTTTTTCTGTAACTCAGAGTAACACTTGGTAATTATTCCGGCTTAATCGCACAATCATTTTCTATTGAATTCAAGCTGAATGAACACAAATGAAGTAGTCTTTCCCTGACGTATTTCACTCTTAAGGAATTTAAATAACTGGCATCGGAGCAAACATCTCGTTGCTTTTAACCCTTTTAAACTTGGAATTACTCACGCTTAAAAAGGCACTGCAAAACATCATAAAAAGATTGACTGAAAATTGTTTTCAGACATTAAAGCAAAGTGAAACTTGCTGTGCTGTACATTAGGAGTGTGTAAAGCTCTTTAGCATTAGTGGAAGTAATCTTACATTAAGAACTTTAAGATAATGAACCTTAGAAATTAAAATTAATCCAAGTGTTTCTTATCTGCATTGCTACACTTCATTGTGCTCTGAATGAGCTGTTACTGTTCTTTTTCTACATTTAAAGGGATAAGATATTTGTTTCTTCCTCATGGAACAAGAAGGTAGGACAAGTTGAACTAAACCCTGCTCACCATCCTGGGACTGTCAGTACTCCTGTAACCATGAGCCCGGAGTCTGGGAACAAAGAGGGAGGAGGGAGAGACAAAGAGGATTGATTGTTCTGCAGATGACAAATATCGGGAATACTCAACCAGCACTCGAAACTTTGCTGACGAGGGACTTTCCTCCACAAAACACCACATTCCCCGAGTGGCTGGTTTAATAATGATGCCATGGGACAAACCTCAGGCCTGGCGTGGTATTTACACAGTCCTACACCATGATTTTTATGTTTGTGTCTCCTTTTCCCAGCTGGAACGGAACAGAACTGAGAAAGCAGCTCCGATTTGATACAGGTTGCTCAACTGGGGAGGATGAAGAAAACTCCATTCAAGCACTAGGACATTTCCACTTAATGATAAATTGAGCTACTTCTTCCCTATCCAAACAGCCTGAACTGATGCTGCTTTAAGACCTGCTCTTTCCCTCTGGCTTTTTACCAAACAATATACCAACCGTGCAACAGTGATGTCAGCTTAGAAATCTGGATGCATGAGTGACAAAAAGTAATTACTGAACATTCAAAGCCACTGTAATGAAGTTTGGGAGTTTAAAATTTAATACATATTCAGCAATAAATCAAAGGATATTTTTCTTTCTCCTTTCCGTTCACACGTCTTGCAAATAGCTGATTCAGCAATTTACCAAGTAGGTGCAGCTCTGCACGGCCTGTGATTCCTTCAGTGGCTGAACGCCCACAGCCACCCTTCATTAGTTAACTTCGATTAGATTTGCCACCTCTCCAGTTCCTGGGGCTTTTAAAGCTTCTTTTCCTAAGGCACTATTCTGCCTGAGGTCCAGATTAAATCAAAATTTTGATTCATAGACGAGTCTCAAATTACATTCCTATTTAATGTAAACTTCCAGTGGAGAGAAGCAAGAAGTCTCTAGCAGGCAAGATGCCATTACGCACTGGATTCCATCCTCCTGCGACTGGTGTGTTGAAGTCCAGATTTAATTTCCGGGGTCCACATCTGGGACACAAAATGATATCAGACGACACTGCCTGCAGGTCTCCATCTACGTTTTTTTTAATCGAGAATCTCGAGAAAGCGCTACATCTTCTCTACGTAGTCTGAACTCGCATGTGGGAGGAAAAGACGGCGCATGTTGGACAACTGGGGCAGCTGAAGGCAAAAGCGTGCTGTGAGACACGCCTTCCCTGCACCTTCCTCGAGAAGCCGCCCCACTCACACTCTAATCCCCCAGCTCTGACCAAGGGCCCGTCATCAACACAGCCAGCCCAGATTTCATCAGCCCCATGAACACCGGCTCCCCACTCATCTAGATAAGACGGCTTCTTGTCGCTCAGCCGCAGAGACCGGCCTTTGAGTGACAAACGATAATCCGGGGAATCTTTTCAACAAGCATGGAGATAAAGAAGTCTGAATCACCCCTTTGTTCAGGTCTGCATCGGCTACGGATTTCTGGTTTAAACCCACTGCTGTAGGGAATCTATTATCTTATTTTAGATGCTAGAGGTTATAAACTCAACTAACAACTTGTTTTGTGGACAGCATAAATATCCTGGACTGGACTGAATTCATACGCCACGAGCCGGCATCACCGAGCACTGCTGACGCTCAGACCTGATTGGAGGAGAGGGGCACACTTCATATGTACACGGGGTCAACAGAGCCCTGGCCAACTAATCCTGACCCCACCCACGACAGTGCTCAGCCAATCCTGTGCTGTGGTTTGGGAAATCCCAATCACAGTCAGCTACTGGCATGTCCCAGTACTCTGCCCTGTTTTAACCACAGTAAAGCAGGCATAAGGCGAGTCCAGTTATGAAACTTTATGGGCTTTAAAGACGACGCGTTTGAAGAGACCCTTGCCGAGTGCCAGAAAGAGTAAGCACAGGACCCGCCCTGTCCTTTGGGACACAGACGCCAAGGCCCTCTCCAGTATGGCGAGTTACTGTACTGCTAATGGAGCAATCAGGGCCGCGACTACTGACTACACCAGCAGCAGCCGCCTCATCTTTGGATCTGAACCTTCCAAAGCTCACAGCTGTAGAGCCGAAGGTTTCCCCACAGGAAGTCGCCACAGGCCTAGGTGGGAGGGCAATTTATGTCGTGGGAGATTTAAACCATAAATAAGATACAAAGGAGAAGCCTAC